CAGCTTGTTCTTTCCCCTGAAAAACTCGATATTGCGCCTCGCTCTGATAGTGGAGGAGGACGTTGAACATGTCTGATGATGCGGTGTGAGACAGAAGAGGGCGGAGGAGGGAGAGGAGGAGAGGAAGAGGAGAGTGGAGGGGGGAGGAGGTGAAGAGGGAGGGAGAGGAGGAGAGGAAGAGGAGGAAAGAGGAGGAAAGGAAGGAGGAGAGAGAGAGAGAAAGAGAAAGAGGAGGGGTGGTTAACGGGGGGAGAGGGGGGGACCTTCATCCATGCGGTCATCGCCGAGGCAGAGGATGAAGTCGACGCCTCCTCTATCGGTGATGTGACTCATCAGATGCTTCGTGATCGCCCCCTTGGTCACTCCCTCGTGTCGAACACGCACAAATGACTTCCCCATCACAACCTGCAGCCCTCGGTCAACCTCCTCCTCCTCCTCTCATCTCCTCCTCCTCCCCCGCTCATCTCCTCCTCCTCCTCCTCCTCCTCCTCCTCCTCCTGTTACTGTTCCATCCTACTCACCTCCCATCTCCACTTCATCCTCTTTTCTCCACTTCTTTACTTCCCCTCCCTCTCCTCAACTTCCCTCATCCCCCACCTCCTCCTCCACATGTCCCCTGCTCCTCCCTCTCTTCTTGTCCTTGTGTCTGTCTCTGTCTCCCGCTCTCGCAGTCTCTCGCTCCTCCCTTCTTCCTCCTCCTCCTCCTCCTCCTCCTAACCTCGACGGGCAGATGCGCCATAGTGTCCTCGAGATGGTTGAGGAGCTCTTTGCCTACCGAGATGTTGAGCCGAAAGATCGACTACAAGGCAAGGAAGCAGAACGCGAGCGAGGAGAGGAGAACGAGGGAAGAGAACAGTGGAGGGCGACGAGGAGGGAGAGGAGGAGAGGAGGAGGGCAGGAGTAGGGAGAAGGCGACAGAGAGAGACATAGGAGGCAAGGACGGAACAACGGAGAACGCGGGAGGAGAAACTTTGGGTAACCTTGAAGGGCTCCAAACTCAGGGTTGGTCGACCCGTAATGCCAAGTGATGGAGGCGACCTGTTGCTCGTCAACAGTCGACCAGCAACAAATACTGGGAGAAAGGGCAGAGAAAAACAGAAGAGGGAGGGAAGAGAGGCAAGAGAGGAAGGCGAGATAGGAGCTGCTGGAGTGAGGAGGGAGTGAGGGAGTGAGAAGGCTAGAGGAGGGAGTGAGGAAGTGAGGGAGTGAGGGAGTGAGGGAGGACGAAGAGAGGGGGCGGGTCCGCTACTTTGTCGCCTTCGATGAAGGTTCCTGTCGTCCTCTCCGCGTACGCCTCCATGACGTTCCTGCAGACCTGGAGATCGCCCCTACAGCGTCAGAGCATGTGTAATCTTCGACTTCACATCCGTCACCTCCTTCCAGTCTGCTCTGACCTGTTCAGGTAAGATTGATCAGATCCTCCTCCTCTACTCCTCCTCCTCTCCTCCTCCTCTCATCCTCTAATCTCTTCCTCCTCTCCTTGTCCTCCTCTCATCCTCCTCCTCCTCCTCCTTCTCACCTCCATCCGAACATCCCATCGCTGCAAAGGAGAGCCCGGCCACTTGTAGTAGTATCCGTCCTCTGCTGCCAGACCCATCTGCTCCCACGCCTGCCCTCAGAGTCATCGGTCGACCCCCTTCGCTCCTCCTCCTCTGCCCTCTCCTCCTGCTCTCCCTCTCTCCTCCCTCTCACCTTGGCATGTGCCGTCCCCAGCCACTTGAGCAAATTCTCTGGCGTCTCTGAGGAGAGGAGGAAGACCAGGTTTCCACTTTCCTGGACTGCAAGGAGATCACTCTAGAGCGCGGAGGAGGAGGAGCACTCAGGGAGGACGAGCGATGAGAGCTGGGGCAGAGCTGGACATGAAGCAGGGAAGGGCAGTGGAGTACCTAGTTGCTGGAGGGACCTGATGCATTGGTCCTTGGATACATCCCCCATCTCTTCCTGCGGGTCGAGTGAGGAAGACGGAGGAGAGGAGGAGGATCAAGTGAGAGGACGAGGGAGAGAGGCAGAATAGAGGTGCAGGAGGGGGAACCCATGGGGAGGGGAGAGGGAGAGGGAGAGGCAGAGGGAGAGGGACAGACGAGGACGGGAGGGCATGGAGCGGGGGCCATCTGCCCCTCTTGATCGGCTCTCAGCTGTTGTTTACCTTGGGGCGAATGAGCAAGTCGACGTCGATAAGGAGAAGCCTTGTCTTTGCCTCCGAGTATGCCATCAGCACCTGTAAGACAAGGACGAGCATCAGAGTCTCCTCCTCCTCCTCCTCCTCCTCTTCCTCCTCCTCCTCCTCCTCCTCCTCCTCCTCATTTCCACTCCTCCATCGACCATCCTCGACTTCTCCTTGACCTCTCCTCATCCTACCCTCCATCCTCTCCTCCTCTCACCTGATCCGCCTTCAGCACATTGCTCGAGATCTCCTTGTACGTGCTCTTCACGAGCCCGACGCGGCAGCTCGCCGCTCGTTTCACGTCCTCGCCGTTGAGGATCATGCTCTCTCGCACTCTCTTCATGTCCAACAGGATCGTCTCTGCCCATCTCTCCACCGTGTGAGTCTTGCACCAGTCCACCTGCTGCAGGTGGTAGTGCTGCCGCTCGTGCGGGGGCTGCCGAAGGCACTTGACGATGGCCTTGGCGAAGTCTTCGTCTCGGAAGGGATTCGTTCTCATGGCCCCGGGGATGACGCGGCTGCACGCGGCGAACTCTGAGACCACCAGCGAGCCCTTCTTCCCCCCGTACTCGTTGCAGAGCACAAACTCAAAGGGCACGAGGCTCAGGCCATGGCGCACCGACGCCATAACGAGCGCATCGCACTGCGCGAAGAGGGCACATCTCGGGCCGAAGGGCATCTTCTCAGTGAGCAGCATGAGGCTCCCCGGGTACTCCTTCTCGATCAGCTCGGCGGCTGCGTGCACCTGGTTGACGTACTCCTTGTGCATGAGCTCTCCCCTCGAGTCGTGGAGGGGGATGGCGACCTGGATGAGGAGGAGGTTCTTGCGGTACTCAGGGAACCCGTTGAGGATGTTGCGAAAGGCAGAGAGCTTGAGCGTGATGCCCGTGAGAGGCTCCAGGTCGTCGTACCCGCACAGGATGACCTGCTTCCCAGACTCCGCAAACTTCGCCTTCCAGTTCTCCAGCTCCTGCGACACCTGGGGTTCCTTGAGCCGCTCGCACAGAGTCGGAGCATCGATGCCGACGTGGCACGCCCGGATGTAGCAGTGGTGTCCGTTGAAGACCAGGAGCATCAACCCGCCGCGGGTGGGTCTATGCTCGATACCCAACAAGGTGGAGCAGCAGGAGAGGAAGTGTCGAGTGTAGTTGTAGTCGTGGAACTGGATGAAGTTGGAGTTCAGCAGGGAGTTGAGGATCTGTTTCCTGATCGGCAGGGTGCGGAAGATTTCAGAGGAGGGGAAGGGGGTGTTGAAGAAAAAGCAGACGTTGGCAGTGCGAGCTCGAGAGCCAATGAGCGTAGGGGCCATGAGAAGCTCGAGGTCAAACACGAAGACGATGTCTCCATCGTTGAAGTTCTGCACCACGGGAGTGACGTAGCGCAGGTTCACCGCGTTGTACAGCTGCCACTTCGCTCCGGCTGAGAAAGCACAGCACATGTCTCGATTTGTCGGATGGAAGAAATGGAAGACAGGCTTCAGGATATCATGGCAGAAATCTTCGAACTCTGATGCCATGTCTCGCGGAAGGAAGACTGGGATACACTGAAACTTCTCTGCAAGCTCCTTCTCCACTTGCTCCTGATCCTCCTCGCTCACCTCGATGCCCAGTCCCCCCACATACCACACGTTGCAACGAGACCGAAGATCGCGAAGGTTCTCAATGACGTATGTCGCATGCCTGCTCATGGATCGCATGACCTTTGTGTTGTCCATCTCTCGCAGCTTGCTGTCGGACAGCTGAGACAACCATTCAAAAGAGTACTTCCCTGTGACTGGGTCTCTGTGCGTGCTGAGAGGCAGGCGATATGTGATGATGTAGATCGTGTCGCTCTTGTCCAGGTTCGCCTGAAGTTCCAAGAAATGCTTTCCGAGATCTTTCTTTCCCTTTTCAAGAGATTGCTTTTTCTTGTTCAACAATCTTGCTCGCTCAGAGTTGAATCTGCCGTCGTCAAGCACCACTGAAGTTCCCTCCGGTGTTATCATTCGATTCTCTATGTCATTCTCCCAAGTCACGGTGCCATCCTGCTTGATGATCGAATACTTGTACTCGATGGTCTGACCTGTTGGCAAGTCCACAATCGCTGACCACATCGGATATCTGTGATTGTCTGTCGATAGCACAACTCCGTTCCTTGGCTCCCATGAGCCGAGCTCTAGGCTTGACCCAGTAACGACTACAAGATCTCCAACCTCGGTGTTTGCCGTCACCTGGAATTCCACATTCGTCACAACTCTTCCTGAGCCGCTTGACAGCTTCAGCATCTGCGAATCAGGCCCTTGCTTGAACTCGTTCAAAATCTGCTCCCTGCTCGACGGTCGCGACAGCCTAGCCTTGGGGGTCGCGGAGACAGGAGGCCTGGACAGGTCATTCGCGCTTCCTCCAGGGTTCCCAGTGAAGGACTGGATGCTCGACTGACTGTTTGTCCTGGAGGACAGCGTGCCCCCACTGGGGATGGTTGGGAGACCCCCGCTGCTGGGGTTGCTGTTGAGAGTTTTCTCGTGCGAAGAGTTTCTCTTCAATGTTCTGTCCATCTTCAAACTTTTGGATAACTCGGAAGCTCAATCAAGATTTGTGTCAGGTGATCCGAGTTGCCTCAGTGCCTTGGATGGCATGCGAACTCTCGTGACCTGACAAGAACCGTCAACAAGACGAGGAGACAGACACCTCCACGATCCCTAGCGCATTTGACACCACAACGCAGACACCACAACGGATGGAGCTACATTCAGACAGAACCAGAACAAATGGAGCAGAGATGGACCTGAGTCGGGGTTAAGGAAACGACAACGGATCCTGTAACGCAGGAGAACGAGCAGACCAGGAACGGAGGGGGAAGGAACAGGAAGAGGGATGCAACAATTAAGGTCTGGTCTCATGGTGCTGCATACGGATGCGAGGAAACGGGTTGTGTAGAAGCGGTGGAAGCACAGTTTGTATGGAGCGGAGGCAGGGAGCGAGAGGGAGATCAATACAAAGGAACAAGAAAAGGAGGGATGGGGCAGGGGGAGGGAGGAGACGGAGCGGAGAACGAAGAGATCATGGGATACGAGAGAGGTAGTCAAGTGAAGAAGACGCATGATGAGAATTATAACACGGAGCAAGCAAGCATGTACGGCGGAGCAAGCAAGCAAACGAATACGGGGTCGACGCCCTCGGGAGGCCATGAGGAGAGAAGATCGGGGAGTTGAGGTGGGGGGCGATGCGAGCGGAAGAGAATGGTATAGGCAGAGGGGAATAGTGGCTTTCGAGAGAAGTGAATCTCGCTGAAGAAGTAGGTGTTGGGATGATCATTCCAGGTTGAGGTGCCGAAGTCAAGAGGGGTATATGAAAAGCACAAGAGAGGAGTTCAGACAATCAGAGGAAGAGAGAGAGAGGAGGGGAAGGAAGTGGAGACGGGGAGGAGAGGAGAAGAGAGAGGAGGGGGGGAGGAGAGCGGGAGGAGAGGAAGAGGAAGTCGCAGAATTTGTCGCCCCGCATGCCGCCGGCAATGAGAAGTGGGAGCAATGAACCAAAGGGGGGGTCCTTGAAAGCAGAAACGAAGGGTGGTATCAGAAAGTAGGGGGTAGTCTAAAGCAGAATTTTTGGTAGAATGGAGGGGTGATGTTTGATTGACAGGGGGTTGGCTCCTTTCAGCAAGAGGGGGTACTTGTGAGATCGGGGGTTGTTTCTCACTGAGAAGGACGGGTGATCTCGAGGTACCTCGCATTTAGATGTAGAAGAAAGGGGTGGGTTATATTCCAGTAAAATAGGAGGGTGGTTTACCGATATTTCTGGGGTCCTCGAAACGCTATGGTGGGTAGGGGTGATGGAGCATGAAGGGTAGTAGTGGACAAGTGGTCGCTAGAGACAAAAGAGGGTGGGGGTGATTCTGGAGATTGTGTGGAAGATGAGGGGGTACATGAAGCTAAATGAATTGGTAGGGGTACTCCAAGATATACAGTGGGGTAGTAGATATCTGACACTTTCCGATTTCAATCGAATTCATTTGGGCCGGCCCGGGCCCGCACATTCACGTTTCACTCAGTCACTCAGCCTGCCCGGCCACAATGTTGAATCAGTACTCGAAGCTCTGCGTATCTACACCACGCAGTATCCTCGAGCCGATTGGGATAGGTACCTCCCCATCCTGGAGACTCACCTAAACTCAGCTGTTCGCCGCCCCATCGGTGCCAGCCCTTTCGAAGTACGGTAATGGCGAATCATGCGGCTCGTTCGGCTCGTTCGGCCGCTGGCCCGCCAGTCGCGGGAGCGAGACTGAGAACTTGAACTCGGAACTCGGATTGAGCCGATGAGCTTTTTCAGGTCGGCAGGAGGTCAACAAGGAAACTGCCGAAGTATCGCTGGTTGTCTCTGCCCACCTGCACAAACTGCCAGTCAAAAGGATAGAGCCGAAACTTTCACCGTTCCTTCGTTACCGTGTAAAGCGGGATAATGGCCTCTCTGGAGCCCCGAACATGCTGCGACCTCTCTAACATATCCTGAAAAGTTACGCATCTCAGTCAGGCTTATCGGATCACCAACAAGACCCCCCTGCTCCCTTGAACTACTAAGTGGTTTCTAACTTCATCCCCATGTTACCCCTGTTCCCCCTCAGGCAATACCACTTCATTCTATTCCTGTTTGTTGTTCCCTACCTGGACCACACTCTCAAGAGTGCCTCCTTTGGTGTGAGATGAATGCTTATGACGGCCAACGCGATCGTCCATCCCTCCGACTCCTGCCACTACGACAAGGCGAGCAACTGCTCCTGGTTTCCGGTACTGGACATGCCAACAGGATCATGGAAGAGGATGTGTTCGGAGCTGGAGGTCACCTGGGCGATGCATGGATCGACTGCCAACTCAGCCGCCCACTGAGCAGAAAAAATGAACAATCGCTCGAAAGGTAATTGCCGGGCCAGACCTGGGGGAACCCTCGAAATGAAACATAGTCGGTTCCGTTCAAGGTCTTGCCAGACTGAACAGCTCCCACCAGGCTGCGAGTGGCCGCTCCTGCTTGTTGGCAACGCTAGTGCAATGAGACTGGACGGTGAGATTGAAGTCGAGCGAGACGTACCTGGAACGATACTGAAGGATGCACCAGATCGTTGCAGAAGTAGCTTCCGACTGGCCTTGGTCGTCCAAGTCTGCTGAGGGTTGAAGACGCCTGGAGGCCAAGAGTCATCACTGCCGTCTCCTCGAACAATGATCTGACAGATGTCAACGACGGGCTGTACGTCGGTGCCGCCATGGCCTTGGAGATCCACGTGCTCTTTGTGCGGGGCTTGTCATTGTGTATTCCTTCCTCGTCGTTGAGCTGCAGGTCTTGAGTTCTTGCGCTCAGAACGTCTGCATGCTCCCAAGACTCGTGAGGCCCGCGGGGGTCGGCGCTCTGAAGCTCAACACTGGAGTCCGGCTGATTACAGGAATGCTCCTCTTGATACACTTCATCGAAATCCTCCGGCTCGTAGAATTGAGACTCGTAAGCATCAAGCAGCCTCGCAGAGCACAGTATAACTTTTGGTTGCGGCGGTCTGACCCTATGTGGATATTAGGCCATGAGTGTGCGTTGTCGATGAAAGCTCACTTGATCGGTTTACCGAGAATCTGCCCTCCCTAGGAGTCTGTCAGACAAGAAGGTGGCCCAGTCGAAAGCAACCTTCATATCTTCAAAAGCACTCTTTGCGCTTGACTCATCAAGAAAATTCACAAAAGCCAGGGCATTGTAGAGTCCTTCCTAAGGCGATATTAGAAAGCGAGGCTGGAAGGGTAAAGTTGACCCCGACCCCTCGTAACAACAATCTCTGTGGCATGCAGACCATCAAAAACAGACCTTCTGTTGGTTTTGAACTGCTATCGACGCTATCATTCCAAACTGCTCAAACACATCCCACAGCTCCTAAAGGACACTTGAGTCAGCCACGCTTGAGAATGGACCAAGCTTTCCTACTTGTTTTGTCACCAGAGGAGGTAAACTTCCTACCCACAGCACCCAACACTCGTGAGGAACCTCTTCATCGTAGTCTTGATACTCATAGTATTCATCCTCGATGGAAATTGGCTGCTCTGTCCTTTCATCGTCCTGTGAACCATTCGCTTGCTCCTGTACTGGTACATCCCAATTGCCAGCGACCTGTTCGGACATGCCGTCAAGGAGCTGAGGATTCTTCAAGGCTCAAAGCTCCTTGCCTCTGATGCAGCTGCAAATTCCACAGGGAGTGTGCTCTCGTCGGCATTTGTATCCACAAAGGCACTGTGGTCACTGCGCCCTCCGCAATCGTCATCTTGTGCCTAACAATGCCCTCAGGTACAAAACAGCAGAAGAAATCAGAGCATAGACTCACTTCGACCGAATGAGAAGTTCTGGGCACTACATCCACTTTTCCCGCCAACTGCAACAAGGTTCAATTCAACTTCTCATGTTCCCATGTGAGCACACGTCGGTATTCTTGTCCTCTTCAACCATCCCTGCACACAGCGCAGGTGACGTAGTTGTCGGTTGGACTTCACTCGGCGGGGCATTCTTCGAATTCTATCCCATTCTGTCAGAGGCAAGGGCCTAGTAGAGGCCTATCAGCAGCGTACGATCCATTCATCGATGATCCTTTCAGCTGCCTTCTCGATCTTATGGACATCTATCAGGAGAACTCAGGAGGGATGGCAGGGTCCGTTGGAGGACCTTCACTGCACGAGGATTCCAGAACCTGAATGCCCAACATCAACGCACCGGACGGGATGTCAAAGGAAAAGTCACTTACTCCTCGAACGACCAGCAGTTGTTCTTCTCGGGACCCCCCTTCCTGCAGTAGCGAACAAGATCAGTGCGAGGACACTTTGGTTGGGGCGCGACCTCCTCGGACATGATGATAGATGTGATGGAGATGCAGCTGACTATGGGCATGGATATGGACATGAATAAATCGAATAGATGGATAGACGGATGGATATGACCAAGATGATGAAATTGATAGAAACGATTGTATTTATGGTGATGAGGTATACGATCGAGCTTGGCCATGATTCTCATATCGTGAAATTTGTGATAGAAGAAGTTAAGACAAGTCTCTCACATCTAAGATTGCATGTATGTAAGGCGCCATGACCGATTCGTCGCACTCCTCCAGCTCCATCCACGCCATTGCGTCTGCCCCCAGATCCTGTCGTAAGCCTTGCCTTGAGGTGGACTCGGAGAAATACCTTTTTGATTTTCAAAATTATTGCCCCCACATTTCAAAATTAAAAAGTAAACTTGAACTCTCAACAATTCGTCATTCACCCCCCTTTTCTCTGGTAGCAACACCCGGTCCTCAGAAATCTCCAAATTTATTCAATATGAACAACCCACCCCCAAACTTCCCGCGCTTTCCCCTAATACAAGCGGGTCACCCCCATCACCCCGTATATTATAGTGACCTGAACCCCAACTCTCAACCACACTACCCCTCTATTTACTGTTAAAAGTACCCCTATAAAATCTACAAGACATCTACCCCACCACCAAGTGTGACTCATATTCTACATGATCTTGACTACACACCACCCTACCCACGAGCTAATCAAAGGCAACCCCTACCCACTGATGAAAACGAAGTTTGGGTTAGTGCTACACCACACCCCTGGAAATACACCGTCCTTCCTAATATGACCCCAAGTATACAGATATATTACCCCCACTTAAGACTATGCTGTGATCTACCCCACCACTACAAGAAGCTAAAATTTACACAACCCCTCCTTTCAGTTCTACTACCCCGTGCTAGTCAACGTTCTTCGTTGCGGCCGAAACTTTGCGAGTGATAACTTTTATATTATATATAATGTTTTATATCATTGATCCGTACAAATTGTTTTCTTCCGTTGCGACAAATCTTTTATTTTTAGCATCATTATGTCAATTATGCTCTTCATACTCCAAGACTTGTGCAGTATATATATGAATATTTGTACCAAAATACATTGAAGGCAATCTCGTGCTACCGGATTTCCTTTTAAAGATTTTTAAAAAATGTTTTACTGGCACTTGTAGAATACTTTTAGGAGGATGCCTCTCTTTATTAAGGAAGGCCGCGTGCCATGTCCGCTGACCACAGTATGGACATGCATGCTAGCCCTTTGGAGGAGGAGGAGGACAAGATCTGATCGCCTGCACTCCATCCTCTTCACATCAGTTACATCCGTATACCTTCCTCTTGCCGGACAGGTTCCTTCTTGCCCTTGACTGTTGTCGTTGGTGCTTTGTTCGAAGTTCTTTGGGATATTCAAATGTTAAAACTTCTTTTGGCAAGATCTGCCATGATTCTGTTTGCTATGAATGTCGGGCTCACCAACTTTGTTGTGCCATCTCTCGGTTTTGTGCATAGCTTGCCGTCATTTCGTTTGAGCGCGACGGCAACAAACTACGAGAAGGAGCATGTGAAGAATGTCGGCGCGATCGTATCAACACATAAAAAGCTCAAGCACTCGCCATATGTTGTTGAAGGCGCCAGAGATGCGATCTTTAGTTTCGACTTCGAGAGCGCGGCCGAGATACCTGAGACTTTCCTGGGGCAGGAGATTCAGCGGTACTCGCCCATGGACCTCTTTCACGAGCTCTGTCTTGAGTCAAGGAAGTATGACCACAACAAGCTCCTGATTGGAGAGATGAAGAAGCACATCCTCTACAGAAACAGTCTGGCGGAATCTATCGCCAGTGTGCTGGCATCGAAGCTTGCTACTAAGGAGATAGACGAGGACCATCTCTTCGAGACCTTGCATGCCACTTTGACGGAAAATCCTCAGATCGTGTCAGACTCCATCCAGGACTTATTGTGGATCCGAGACATCGACCCTGCAGCCACCAGCTTCATCCAGCCGTTCTTGTACTACAAGGGATTCCATGCAGTGATCGTCCAGAGGATCGGACATCGTTTGTGGGTGACAGGAGATGAAGAGATGCGGATGATTGCTCTGATGCTTCAGAGCCGCGCCAGTGAGAAGTTCTCGGTGGATGCCCATCCTGGAGCGAAGCTGAGCCACGCTATCATGATCGATCATGCGTCAGGGGTGGTGATAGGCGAGACGGCGTCCATCGGGCATCACTGCTACATCCTTCATGGAGTGACGCTGGGGGCAACCGGCAAGGCTGGGGTGTTTGATCGTCATCCAAAAGTAGGGAATCGCGTCAAGATTGGAGCTGGCGCGATGATCCTGGGAAACATTCCCGTTTCGGATGATGTTGTGGTTGGCGCAGGAGCGATTGTAACTATTCCTGTTGGACAGGTGATAAGATTGCATGTTGTCTCCTGTGTAAGCCTGTACTGACTAGATGAACAGGGAGAGACGGTTGTGGGAATTAATCGTGTTCTAGACGCAAATCAGCGCAAGACAGCCAACGATGCGCTGCAGGACATGAACACCTGGATGTTCACGATCTAGAAGGGCATGTGGCTTCGCACTCTTGTACATAGAATGTAACTGATAACAAACATCTGATCTGGTGCGGAACTCCGTCTGTTTACTCATTGTTTCCTGTCAAGCTTTGTCGTCACGACAAACTGTCAAGCTTTCCATCAAGAGAGTTTGATGGACTTTCTGCTGTGTTGTACCTTGACGTTGGGTATAACGATCAACATCCTTGCATGGCGTTTGGCACTCAAACATCAACTCCACCCGCTCTCATGCACGATTGTTCGATAACACTTCAAAGTAAAAGATGTCAGATATGTTTCACAATCTCCATTGAGTCTGGCACAATCAGCACTCGAGTTTGTTTGTTAGAGCTTTCGAAGGGTTATCGAATATTGCCCTTGTTCACACACCCTTGCAGGAGGTATAAGTTGGCTGTTAGACCTGTTCCTCCTAGCCCTGCACATCAACCAGCTCTCTCTTGTTAGGAGCGTCTGAGGGCATGACGGGAGTAGAGGAGGCTTCCGTGAGGAAGGGAAGGAAGGGAAGGACCTGACAGGCTCAACAGAAGGGAGCGGGGGGGATCTGCATGGCTTCACCTACGATGAGATGCGGTAGGATGCGGGAGGAGGGGCAGGAGGAGAGGAGATGCTATCAGCAAGTAGGGCAGAGGTTCATTTATTTGACTGACACTTTGCCGGATGTCAAAAAGTGCAAGACAGCCAACACGGCATGACCACCTGGATGGTCACAATCTAGAAAGCATGTTGAATTGTACTCTTGTACATGCAATGTAACTGATAGCAAACATCTGATTTCCCTCGTCCTCGTCCTCGTCCTCGTCCTCTCTTGCACTCGCCCGCTCCTCTTCCTCCACTGAGCTTCACCACGGCAGCTTCTCCCTGTCGTAGGCGAAGAAACTTCCAGTTTCGGCCTGATCGAAAAAGTTGCACGTCAGACAAACTAGAGAAGGAGAGGGAGAGGGAGAGGGAGAGGGAGAGGGAGAGGGAGAGGGAGAGGGAGAGGGAGAGGGAGAGGGAGAGGGAGAGGGAGAGGGAGAGGGAGAGGGGAGAGGGAGAGGGAGAGGGAGAGGGAGAGGAGGAGGAGGAGGG